ATGTCCCAGCTTTCCAAAGGCGTATTTATTCATCCTGAACTGGCTCTTTGCTTTGGAGCTCCCTTTTGTGAGACACATGGTCATTTAGAGTCACCAAGCACTTCAGTTCACTCTCTACCATGGGCTCACTGAGGTGATATTTTAGCCCTATTATGTTGACAAGGCAACAGAATTTCTAAAGCTTTTCCAGCAATAGTTAGGAAAGTACTTAAGCATGAGAAGGGAAACAAAAGCTGCAAATCAAGACTACATCTCTCCTTTTCCTCTGACCAGCCAGCCAACACATCACAACGGCCCTTACTAGCACCTGGATTAGGAGGTTCAGTGTTCCCATCACTACAGGTATGAGATACTGCTGCTTTTCTGGAACAAGGAAAGTAAGACTATAACTTTATCTGTCCACTGAGCAGCTCCAAACAGTTAAAAAACATAAGGAAGACGCTGTAATCTGCTGCTGCTATAAGGTGTGAAGTTGCACCCCATCATCTCCCCAGCACCAAGCCTGACTGAAGAGGACTCTGCCTATCACCACCTTTATCCTCCTCAGTCTGCTGATTTTATTGCTTGTACAGCTCTCCATAGAGCCAGATTGGTGAAATGAGCCAAGTTTTATTTAAAAAAAAAACGAAATCCTGGCCTTGTATTTTGAAGAGGTAGTTTCTCGAGTTCGGTTTACAGCACAGCTCCACAAGAGGCAGGGAGATGGAGCATGCAGGAGGGGTGCAGCACCCGGGCATGGGTGCTGGGAGTCTCCTAAAACACTTTCTCCATCAAAGAATACACTACTGAAAGCACTCCCAAACCCAGCTGTGAGTTAGCTTGCTGTTAGAAAGTAAATAGGCACTAGATGCTTTTTCCTGCAGAGAATCTTACTGATTTCAGCAGAGCCACTGGGCTGAGCAAAATGATGCAAGATGGAGCAAACCATGTAAGAAACAACAAATTACAACTGGTCTGACTTATAGCATGTATCCTTTTAGTAACCTCTTATTATTCCTCTCTAAACTCCTGATTATTTCATATGTGCATATATTCACAGTTCGCTATGAGGAATAAATAATGTATAATTACATACAGTTCTCTTATTTGATATGAGGTCTATTATTTCATTGAGAAATTTCCATCAAAGTTATACCAGCAGATCATCTTTTTTGATGAAGTCTTTTTCTTATAGAAAACCTCTGCTTTCTGTTAAGCATGAAAAATTCAGCCATCTGAAAAATTTTAGTTGTGAATCAAAAACTACTTCAATGCAAAAAAGCTGCTGAGATGTGTCCCTGGGAGTATAGCTTAGGGTGCCTTGTATCCCCATGTTAGTCTACAGTTCACAGTTTAGCTTAGCTCCAAAACACAAAATTTTCCCTCTCACCAAGATTTTGCCAGGTCTTCTACCTCATCTATGAAGTAATCTTGGGCCCAAGCTTCCAGAGAAATGCTCTTTCAAATCACTACATCTCACCACCTTCACAGACTATACCCCGATGACGGCCTTTGTAGATTTGTGCAGGTGAACCGTGTGGCTATTTACAGAGGACACTCTCTTTGCAGAGAGCTCACCTGAGGTTTTATAGATGAGCACTGGGCAGGTCACGATCTGCTTGCTGTGGACACCCATCCAGTGGGGCTTTACTCTCATCACCTGGCAGAACACACGGGCAGAGCTGACTTCATTCAGCTAACCGCAATCTGGCTTCTTTCCTGATTTTAAATCAGGTTTCTCTTTCCTTAAGAGACTAACTGAATCTCTATGACCAGCCCATGCCTTTCATGAGCCACAGCATAAACAGCCAGCAACATCTTTACAGGGGGTGGACTCAGAGCTTCTTTTACACGAAGTGGCTCAGCCAGCAGCCCACACTATAAATCAATAAGTGCAAGAAGTTCACGGTCTTTCACACATCATTTTATTTATCCTGAGGTCAGATTTGCAATTACAGACAAGAGGATCTTTTTTCCCTCCTAGCTGTACCTAGGCTGGCAATCACACAGCCCTGAGATGTCCCAGCTTTCGTAGCGTTGCCTGGATTTGCTGCACCCTGGTAAGCCTGGGTCAAGACTCGAGTCACTGGTTTGAGAGGTTACATGATGCTACATCTGGTTATTTAGATGCTACACCTTGGGTAGTGGCTTCCTACTACTTTGCCCCAAGGTTTTTTCCCTAGGTGTCACACAGCCACCACATAGCCAAGTGAACACGTTCACAATAGCCATTGTCACTTGGGTAAAGAACTGGTGAGAACTGCCCTTGCTATTCCTGGTCAGAAATCACATTGTCACTGCCATGGGGCTTGTCACTTAGGAGCAACTCTCAGGCTTGAAGACAGCTGGGTGGGCACGGACATAGCTGCAGAATATGCAGCCTTCAGTGAGCATACCTGGGATTTTAAGATGTGTTTGTGCAACTTCATCAGTCCCAGAAAACTAGTTGGAGAGGTCAAGGCGACAAAGCCATTGGGGAACTACTGAGAAAGATTGAGTTACAAACATTTGGATTTCCCATAAGCACAAAATGAGGCCAGTTCATAGGACATGATGTTCTCTCACATGAAATAATATCAGAAATAATTTTCCCCTTCTTTAGAGTGGAAGAGCACCAATGACTTCCCCTTTAAGAATCTGACTTAAAGCACTTCTCAATTCCTATAGCCTTTCTAGCAATGAAACAGGATGAAAAAAAAATTGCCCTCTTCTCAGCAAGACATTAGCCACAACGGAAATGTTTCACATGAAGTTTAATAATTATTTGAGGCCCAAAAAATTTAAAATTAATGTGGGCAGGAAAACACATCAGAAGGAGAATGACAAAAATACACATAATAAAGTACCAAGGAACAAGGTAAGGATACATTTTTAAAAAATGCACGTATATTAATGTCCCAAACCAGTTACTCTGGTCACAGAAACCACCCTAACACCATACTGCAGTGCCACTAGGGATTAACAAACTACGATACTCCTCTTCTAATGCTTTTGACCCAAATGGGATTACACTCATAGCCATGTTCCTCACAATTTCTCTTGGATGTTCCTACCAGGCTGAGGAGGGTGCCTGATCACGCACTGCAACAAAGCACTGAGTCTGGAAATAACAGTTTGGATTACACATCTAATCCACACAGATGAAGCTGTTCAGATACCAGGAGTTTTCCTGCCTGTGCAATCCTGCACCCTGAATTTACGCACGTCTTTTCCAGGCTGGGACCTTTGGGAAAGCTCAGTGGAAATTCACAGGGCTCAGGCATACTGGAGGACTGACTGCTGGACACTACAGAGCAATGCATTCTTTCAAATGTAAATGGACAGAACACGGTCATAAGTGTCAGGGAAATATAAAAAAAAAAAAAAAAAAAGAAAAGAAAAAAAAGAGTATGAAAATTTGGGCCTCCTTACCCGTCATACAGTCTTTGTTCTGTGTCAAGGGGTTCTATTTGCTTCCTTCATGGGCACAAACAAAATTATTCCCATTAGCCCCAAGGAGAGGTGACAGCTAGCTACGCAAGCGAGAGATGGATTCTGTTCTGCATCACACAAAATCAACAAAATAGTCAAATGTGTTCTAGCTCAACAACTGTCTTAATTTTTTTTTATTTGCAGTAGCAGAAATGATGATGTGATAGAAGAAGTCAAATGCATGTGACACGAATATCGTGTCGGGTGGTTGGGAAAAGCCCCTGGCATGAAGCTGGAAAATTTATTTGGTGACTTGTTTTAAAAATATTATAAAAGAAATTGAAATGTCAATTTTGTATAGTTACCTTCCAACATCCCCCTGTCCTAGCTTCTGAAAAGCCCTATCCATTTATGTTAGGGGGGCTTAAAAGAAAGCAAAACATCTTCCTTTAGTAGAGATGCTGATTACTTGAGACAAGACTGGATGAACAAAGTGATTACATGACCTTCCTCCTATATGTTTGATTTGGCATACACAGTTCACAAGAATAGTTCCAACTTAATACACTTAACAAATTTTTCATCAGACTAACTGTAACCTGATGAAATGGCAGAGCTATTTTAATTAAAAAACAATTAAAATATCATCAGCTGAAAAGCTTGGCATTTCTCATCTATTTTACAAGAACACAGAGGCTGCAAACACACAGACTCTCTTAAAAAAATATGTTGCAACTCTCCCATATTTCTGATACTTGTAAAGAATACTACTGCTAAATTTTTTGGGGGGTAATCATTTGTCCATTTTCAAGTTTTAACCAAAAAAAAGTATCTTTCAATCCTTGTCAAAAAGTACAGCAAAGAAGGAATTGGATAAAATATTAATAAAAGTGCTAGCACTGGAAACAAAATATTTAATTGTAGTAAAAATTTTAAAACAGAAATTAAAATAATTTTTAAGTTAAAAAATGAAAAGTGCCCATCAATTAAGATTTTTTAGCTGGAACACTTTTTCCCTGTATAAAATAATACAAATCTAAATCTATCCGTGGAACACGTATGTATCTCTGATATCACAGAATCACAGGCTGGTTTGGGTTGGAAGGGATCTTTAAAGATCATCTAGTCCAACCTCCCTGCCATGTGCAGGGACACCTTTCACTAGGATCAGGTTGCTCAAAGCCCCATCTAACCTGACTTTGAACAATTCCAATAATGGGGCAAGGATGTACATCATCAGAGGAAGTTATTGAAATGTACCTAATGCAATATATTTATTGCACAGTTTTGCTATGCTGCTTTAGGAAAAACAAAAAACAGTCCTCTGCTATTTCCCAGTGATATAAATAGAAAACAAAGCTGTCATGCCTTAAAGTGGCTGTAATGATAGATGATTTCACATCGCCTCTGCAGCCAGCAGAAGGTCTGACACCAATTGCAGGTGAAGAATCAGAGCTTTATCACTGGAATTACAGCCACCCCCCCACTACGTCTAAGCAATTAAGTCAACCAATGACCTGAATGTTCACTATGGGTATCATGTAACCCTCCTTTCTTGTTCAGCAACGAAAAGCAATCATCGCAGAGAAAGCAATGGTTCGGTATCTCACCTCGCTATCTTGTCACTGCAGGACATGGTGAGCAGCCTTTCTCCTTGCAACACGCCGTCCCACGTCTGGATCGTGGTGGTGGAGCGCACGGGGATGGTCCCTTCCCCAGATTCTATTTTTGTCCGTAGCTGTCCTCTGGCTTTGCGGTTTGGATGCCTGTCCCCTTGATCTAAATGACAAAAATCACTTACAATCAACTGAGAAACATTCTCAAGGTGTTTTACAGATAGCATTAATACGAAGAGTTGATTAAAGCTATTTGTCTGCGTAAGTGCTGGCTTGCTTAAAAATTTCTAATGCTTCTTGCCAACTAGCCACAGCATCAGACATCTCTCACAAATACTGTCTTCTAAAACATACTTGCAATTAAACCAAGATTTCCATAAACGAGCTCTTCAATTCTGTTCTGCGTGTTACAGCACTAGAATGAGGTTAATGGACAGACCAAGGAAGGGACAGGCAGACAACCACCCTTAAAAGATGGAAATAATGTTAGTTCTGTACAAATACTTGCTGACTCACTGGCTTAGCCTGGCTAGCATTCAGCCTCTTCAAGACCACGTGCTGGATCAGTCTATACTTAACTTCTACCATACAGGAAGAACAGCTCAGATTTTTTTTTTTTGAGAGATCTTTGTCTAACACACATCTACACTAAAAAGGAAAGAAGACACCTAAATTTTAACTGTGCCACTTGTCCGTGCTCAAAGAATCCTTTAAACTCCCTTGCTTGAGCAGGGCTGCTGTCGTACCCTCTTGTGCTGCTTCGTGTGGTGAGAAAATCCTAGCGTCGCCACAAGGAGATGTGCTGATATAGAGATGAAACTGCACATTCTCCTTCAGCTTAAACCCGCCTCGCTCCGATTTGATAAAAATGGATTTTTGTTGATCTTCTTTATTGCTGAAACAGAGAATAAAGCTAGAGTCAAAACTGACATTAACACATAAATAACCATAAGCTGGGCAGTCTTAACAGGCAGTAAAAACAAACACAGGAGGTCTGGAAATTTTATAGTATAAATCTAACAGTTATTAAAAATAACAAAAGACCATTAAGACAGAAATAGATAGCCCTTGAAATCTCCAGACCTCAAGAGGCACTTACCAGCAAATGAAACATCACTACCCTTTAGCTCACTTGAGATTATTTTGATTTACATATTCACAGTTTACAAAACTATTCACAATTATTTTTTCTGTCCTCCCCTCTCATGATGGACACCTAACTGAATACACATTTTGTTAAACTCAAACTTTAGGGCAAAGGGCTTGAGTTCTCAATTAAACATCCTAATGCAACAGGACAAGCGTTTCACATTGAAATAACTAAGACAGATATTTTACACAGACACCTTTGCAGCTCCACGTGATCAGCTCATCTTCCTTTTCCCTCCAGCTCACCTTAGATAAAGCTCAAGTTGTGTATATAGGAATTTAAGCAGGCACCGACGAGATACAATTTCCGCATGACAATCATTTAATGCAAGACCACGATCACTCATGTATTCACCATTGATGCATTTTGTTCCTGTAGAAACACTTATTACCAGGGCATCTTTCACATCCGTACCTGCAAAACAAAATTTCAGGAGGAAGATGCAATTAAAATCAAAAATAATCTAGCAAGTGATCTTCCTGCAGAACGTAAACAAGGCTCCTGGGGTTTTTTGTTTGCTTCTTAAAAAAAAAAAAAAAGGACTTTCTTCTGATATTTTCTTTAAAGCAAAAGATTCACTCAACCATACCCTTCCTGTACCAGTATGGCCTATGGTTCTTGTGAGTTCTTCATGTTGGAGTTCGGATGAGTTAGAAATTGAAAACCTGCAGGCAAAAATTGCTGCTTCAGTAAGAGTTATTAAAGCCTGAGGTGCAGAAACTGTTTTTGTCCTGAGCCCCAGGCAGCCAGCTAGCTTCCAGCATGCACCTTCTGGCCATCTCTGCAGGTAGTCACAGCAAATTTAGAAATCTGAATGGCACTGATTCATTAAAACAGCAACACATTAAACAGAAAAGGTAAGACAAGAGAATGATAGTTCAAATGCTTAAACCACTGTAAAGCTTATTAGCAGTACAACACTTCTGGAAGTGTAGATCACGGTATTAAATAATTCCATACCACTGAATTAAAAAATATTTGGGGTATTTTCTACACAGAGAAATGCCTTTATCACACACAGACACACACTCAAAAGGTCAGCTGCATGAAGAATTCAGAAAGACAGGAAAAAATGTTGACACTCAGAGGAAAAAAACCCCAACAAGCTACAGTAGTTCCTCTGAAGCTCTTGAGGCCTCACCAGCCCAGGGCAAGCCCTGCCAAACGCATTCTACTATCTCCCTCCCACAGAATAGTTACTGCAGTATGAAAAAGCAGAAAAACCACTTTCAACACACCCTATGTACCTGGAGTTGAGAATCATAGAATGGTTTGGTTTGGAAGGGACCTTAAAGATCATTGAGATCCAACCCCCCTGCCCTGGGCAGGGACACCTCCCACCAGACCAGGTTGCTCCAAGCCCCATCCAGCCTGGCCTTGAACCCCTCCAGGGATGGGGCAGCCACAGCTTCTCTGGGCAACCTGTTCCAGGGTCTCACCAACCTCACAGCAAAGAATTTCTTCCTAATATCTAATCTCAATCGCCCCTCTTCCAGTTTATAACCATTACCCCTCATCCTATCACTACATTCCCTGAAAAAGAGTCCCTCCCCATCTCTCCTGTAGGCCCCTTTCAGGTACTGGAAGGCTGCTATAGAGTCTGCCCAGAGCCTCTCTTCTCCAGGCTGAACAACCCCAGCTCTCTCAACCTGTCCTCATCAGAGAAGATAGGGAGGGACCGTTCATCAGGGAGTGTAGCGATAGGATGAGGGGTAATGATTAAAAACTCAAGAGGGTGTATTTAGATTAGGTATTAGGAAGAAATTAATTTTTCCCTATGAGGGTGTTGAGGATGAAATTGATGAAATATATGGCCTTAAAAAAATAAATAGAAAAAAAATGAACCCAAGGCCAGCTGTCCTCTCCTGCCCATGGGGCTGGAGGAGAAGCCCGTGCAGAAGAAGGTGCTTTACTCTACAACACAAGGCTACGCAATGGGGTCATCTAATTCCACGGATTCCCCAGACACGTATCCGTGCAAAGATGGTTTCTAATTCTGTGTAAAGCTATTTTTTCAGTTAATCAAAATGTATTCACATGTTAATTAAGTCTTAATTCTTCAGGCACGTGGCTTTTCTGGGAATTCTGGACACGGGACTGTAATTACAATAAAAACTTGTTAAAAACCACAAAATATATTAAATAAAACTACAGCATGCTCTTCATAGTGCTTCACATTTGAGGCTAAAACAGTGTTGGTGCCACACCAATGTTTTGGCTGTCGCTGAGCAGTGCTTGAGAAGTGTCAAGCCTTTCTCTCCAAACCTCCCACCAGCCAGTGTGCTGGAGGTGGGCAAGAGACTGGGAGGGGACAAAGCTGGGACCAAGGAATATCCATAAGCATTGTGCTCAGCAATAAGAGCTCAGGGAAAGGAAGAGAGGACGTTCAATGTTGTGCCGTTCATCTACCCACGAGTCTTCTTGCCCTCCTTCCATCTTCTCACCATGCCCCAGGAGAAGGCAGCAAGTGAGAGGCTGGGCGGGTGTTTGACTGCTGGCCAGGATCAGCTCACCCTGGATGGCTTGTGACAGAGTTAGAGCCACACTGTCCCCTTGCCACATTCCCCTGTCCCTAGAGCAGGCAGTTATCATCATACAACATCACATAACCAGCACCCTTAGACCTCAGCAATGAAATGTAGGGAGGAGGCCCTTACAAACATCCTGTGGCCTGTGGAGGAGGCCCCTACAAACATCCTCACAGGAAGAAGGGGTTGGTGTTGCCCAAATCACAAAGGAAGCTACAATGCAGCCTGAAGGACCAAGAAAAACACCCACGGCACCTGCTGCATGAATACCACTTGGAAGAAACGTGGCTGTACATGTATCACCGATACCTGTCTGACTCACACAACTAACCGGGACACTTCATGACGTGCCCAAAATGAATGTCTCATCGAGGGTTTAGAAAGATTGAAGACCAAAATAAATCTTAGCCTGAGAAAAATTCAGAGGCAGTGTGGATGCTGATCAGCTTAGGGTGGAATGTCACTGTTTAGGGTGACCGGGCAGGGCACAGATCTCGTGCCAGCACTCAGAGAACCACGACATTACCGCTCATACCACTGTCAACTGCCAAAACATAAGCTGCTCTTTTCCGATACAAAGTACTGAGAATAAAGTATAGCAAGAGTAAGTCAACAAAGTGCAAAACCTTGAAAAATCGGAAAGCAAGCATAATTTCTTATATAATATGCCAAAAGCCAAGAATGCCATCTGTGTGACCAATGTGGTGAAATTCGTTTTAGATTTACTTCCAAAAAATTGCACAGTTCATTTTAAAAGGTACATGTATTTTGTACACCATAAGCTATCTCAGATGTCTGAATCAGGCAGAAGACAGGAACTCTGTGGAAACAGAGGTATTTGCAGGTCTAATTTCTTCTATATTTTTTTCTATAATTATCTTTTGCTACATCTAGTGCACTTCTTTGCAGGTTACTGGTTGACTGAGAAAAGATAGTTCCCTAGAATGCAAAGACAGCTCTCCTATTCAAGCAGTTAAAACAGTACTTTTTTTTTTTTTTTCTTTACCTGTTGTCATGACAATTCCAGCAAGGACTTTTCTACGTGCATGTGGAGATGTGAAATTTTCTGTCAAATCACTGAATTTATCTACAACCAAGCGTGCAACAGCATCAGCTAAAACCTGCAGGATCACAAAGAAATGCACATTAGAAAATTAAACAATTTTAAAATTACAGCAGCATTAAGTTATAAAGATTTGTTCTTTTAAATGATTTAACACAATAAATTAAACAAGAGCACATTGAGGCATCAGCAATATGTTAAGGAGGTGGCGAGGTCGAGTTTTCAGGCATATTGAAACTCACAGCTCTTTGTAAGTGGAAGCAGAGCTCTGTTGTGCTCCACGTCTATTAAAACAGGGTTAGAGAGCCCTAAGCCAAGCATCAAAATACCTAATGCTCATGATCATTATGACCATTTGAGACTTATGAGAACAATTGGATAGACAGAAAAGCCTATGCTTTCATGCTCAAACCTCAAAATGCATCGTTTCAGTATCCTCAACATTGGACCTGACAAGAAGACCAAAGTGCAAAAACCAGGCTCCTCAAATCAACAAGTAAACCTTTTCTAACAATTAAATTCATTATCTAGCTACTACATAAATAAGAAAGCATCTGTTTTAAACACTGGTTAAACACTTTCTATTCTTTAATTTTATAAGACATAGACAAATTTAGGAATAGAAAACATCAAAGTTTGTTTTGGGTTATACAATCTCAAAATTAGGAAGGATTTATCTCTTTCACCTTCAGGAACACTTGAACAATAAGAGTCACAGCCTCCTATCTTGTCAGCAGGGTTAGCAAGCAACATCGGTCAGGCTGTAAGGGGGGTTAAATTTTAATTTTAAGGAAAACTTCAGTATACCAGTCCTGCTCTTGTTGAACAATGGTTCACTTCAACACTGCAGCTAATCTCACCTGCTGTTTTTAAGGCAGCTGGAACTGTAACAGATAGAGGAGATGAGTCAAGATAAAGTTCTTGAATTTTCACCTGAGAAGAAACTGAAAACCAGGGCAACCTATGCAGCAGCATTGCTAGCAGAGCAACCGGTTCCCCAATGAGCGTCTGAGAAGGACAAGTTACATGTTAAATGGCATGACAATTGGTCCCTAGGCTGGCAACAGAGACAGGGCAGCCCACTCTCACTCATCTTTCACCAGCACTGGGACCGGCAGCTGGAGAGGAGGAGCGGACAATCCCAGGAGGGAGCTCAGGTCCCTATCTTGGAGCACCAGGAGTAAAGAGCAGTTGTGGGGGTGTTGACACCTAGCAGTATCTGAGGTATCCTGGAATTACCACCTGGCCCACTGGTTGACACACCAGGAGGACAAAGTACCATGCAGGTGTCTTAGATATCCAAGAGCATCCAATACGGTAAGCAACTACAGCAAGCCCAAAAGGACAGTTGGGGCTGAGTCTTCTGCTTACAAACTCTCTCTCAGTAATGGAAGAAGATCACCATTCTCACTACTCCAGAGGGCCCAAGGCAAATCAACAGGGCCGATGGGCAGCAGTACACAGGGCTTGGGGGCACCCACTTGCAATGGTTCAAACTCTTGAACACAGTCAGTTTTAAAAACAAACTGCAAGGGTCAAAAGAAAGGAAAAAAAAAAAAAAAAGAGGGTATGAAGATTGACAGCCTTATTCACCACCACTTTCTTAACAATGTCATGAGAACTGACAGCCTAGAAATAATGTGGAGGAGCTCTTAATGTTAACTTCCTTCTGGAAAAGCTTTAGCAGCCAAGGAAGCAATAACTAAAGCTCAGGTGTCATGATTTCAGAGCTTGATAGCTTCTTCCAGAACCTGGGTGGGGAGTGCAATCAGCAGTCAGTGGTGACTAAGGTCACATCTGCACCAAGCATTGGTCAATGTTTTGCAATTGCACAACTTCTAGATTCAGAATTTGTAAATACAAATTTTCTTGATGCATTTGAATGGACTGCAACTCAGAAACTTTTATAAACATATTGAGAAATTTTTCAGGAATGCAATTTGGCTCAGAAGCTACAAACATATCTGGTCAGGCACTGGTTTTCAAATAAGGTATTCTTGCTGCTGGACCCAAAATTGTGTTACAATCTGATCAGACAGCACCATGACCACACAGCACAAAATCTGCATTTAATTGCAAGACAAAACAACTGCTGGAGATGCAAACAATACAAGAGGAACTGCAGGGGTGGAAATCACTGCGAGGCAACAGGCAGATATACTAAAGGTTGTTTTATTCTATTTGATACCCAAGTTGAATTACAACAGGTGGTTCTTGAGGAATAAACACTATTAAATGTCTAGAGATTGAATTACTAAGTTTTTGGTCTTTTATAAAAATATTCACCTGATAAATTAGAAGAATCACCCTTTTCTTCCAGGCAGTCTATTATATTAACATAGTTAAGAGTCACTAAGACTATGGAAGAGATGGGAATAAGGCAGACTATGAACAAACCGCTGCAGTGCCAGGAACAAGACTTAATGGCCTAAAATGATGTCCTTGATGTCCCCACCTCAAAACCAAGGACCTGAAGCTGTGTCCACATCAAACCCAGGCCACCTGACCGGCCTGAGTAGGGATCTTTCACTTCCTCACTGTTCTCACTCTACTCCCTTTCACACTAGTAAATATTAGTCGGAACAGAAATTGAACTCACGTCTCACTTTCCCAGGGAATGCCCTAGCATCTGACGTGGTTTCTCTACCACTGCTCCTGCATTAAATCATTATTCAAAACAAGGTAATTCAAAAAAGGAAGGACCTAAAATAGCTGACAGTTTGGTCGTTAAAGCATGTGAGCTCCAAGCTATTTTGGGTGCGCTGTTCCTTTCTCTGATGAAGTGACAGAGAATTAACTTCTTTTCTACACACACAGACTGATTTTGGTTAATATATATCTTGCAGGTATATTGTACCAGAACCCTCCTGACCATCCATGATTTAAAATGTTCTGAAGCTGAGGTTCAGGTCTGTCTGGATCTGAAGAAAGCTCTTGGCAGGCCACAGAGACCACCCCAGATGAATGCTGGTGAGGATCCACGTGGTGGAACCAAAGGCAGTGGGAGCAGGGGCACTGTGTGAGCTGACAGCACCCAGCTCTCCCTGGGGACCTGACCCAAGACCTCCCAGTCTTTTGTGCTCTCCTTGGATCTCCAGTGGTACTTCTGAAGCACAAATGTTCTCCCTCAGCTTTATTTCTTCTTACCTTCACAGGGCTTGTCTGAACTTTCACAAGCTGAGGAGCAGTGGCAGTGCCCACAGTATGCAAAAACAAGGTCTATTTTCTCTCCTCTGACAGTGACCAGCACACAGAATTCAGAGAAGGTACAAACACATCTACAGTAATAAAACAGGGTAATTATTTTCCTGTGCTCCAAAGTTTCCTGCACTTATTTAAAGGAACTGCTACCTGGCACTAGATTCTCTCCCTACTTATGCAAACGTATTTCTTCCAATTCCACAGCGATTGTTCCAACATATGACTCATTAACTCCCATAAACACATTCAATATTATCTTTTTGCTAGGTTTGAAACTGTTCCATTCTCATTTTCCTACATACACTAAGCAGTCTATTGCAATAAACTACCCAGAGCTCTTTAGTACCTCTGCAGAAGCAGATTTCCAAGATCTATGATCATTTTAATCATTAATTTGTATACCCTTCCAATATGGAATACTTCTTTTCTAGTTTCCCCCTGCCTCAGGATGAAAAAGCAGCTCAAGTAAAAGTAGCCATTGTGATACTGATTCTCACTCCTTTCACAGAATAGTACAGGTGGGAAGGGACCTTCAGAGATCATCTAGTCCAACTTCCCTGCCAGAGTAGGATCACCCAGAGCAGGCTGGACAGGAACACAGTCAGGCTTCCAGAGAAGGAGACTCCATACCCTCTCTGTGCAGCCTGTTCCAGTGGTTTGGCACCCTCAAAGAAGTTCTTCCTCACGTTGAGATGGAATTTTCTGTGTTCTAGCTTCTGTCCCCTTGTCCTATCACAGGCACCATTGAGAAGAGCCTGACCCCATCTTCTTGTCACGTGCCCTTTAGATATTTATAAACATTGATGAGGTCCCCTCCCAGTCTTCTCCTCTCCAGGCTAAACAGACTCAGGTCTCTCATTTTTTTCTCATAAGAGACTTGCTCCATGTCCTTGATCATCTTCGTAGCCCTCCTCTGGAGTTTTCTAGTTTCCCCCTGCCTCAGGATGAAAAAGCAGCTCAAGTAAAAGTAGCCATTGTGATACTGATTCTCACTCCTTTCACAGAATAGTACAGGTGGGAAGGGACCTTCAGAGATCATCTAGTCCAACTTCCCTGCCAGAGTAGGATCACCCAGAGCAGGCTGGACAGGAACACAGTCAGGCTTCCAGAGAAGGAGACTCCATACCCTCTCTGTGCAGCCTGTTCCAGTGGTTTGGCACCCTCAAAGAAGTTCTTCCTCACGTTGAGATGGAATTTTCTGTGTTCTAGCTTCTGTCCCCTTGTCCTATCACAGGCACCATTGAGAAGAGCCTGACCCCATCTTCTTGTCACGTGCCCTTTAGATATTTATAAACATTGATGAGGTCCCCTCCCAGTCTTCTCCTCTCCAGGCTAAACAGACTCAGGTCTCTCATTTTTTTCTCATAAGAGACTTGCTCCATGTCCTTGATCATCTTCGTAGCCCTCCTCTGGAGCCTTTCCAGTAGTTCCCTGTCCTCCTTGAACTGGGGGCCCCAGAACTGGACACAGTTTTTCAGATATGGCCTCACCAGGGCAGAGCAGAGGGGGAGGATGACCCCCCTTGACCTTCTGGCCACACTCTTTTTAATGCAACCCAAGGAGACCATTGGCCTTCTTGGCCACAAGGGCACATTGCTGCCTCATGGTCAACTTGTCCACCAGAACTCCAAGGTCTCTCTCCACAGAGCTGCTTTCCAGCAGGTCAGCTCCTAACCTGTACCGGTGGATGGGGTTATATCTCCACAGGGGCAGGACCCCACACTTACCCTTGTTGAACTTCATTAGGTTCCTCACCGCCCAACTTCCTAGCCTGTCTAGGTCTCGTTGAATGGCAGCACACCTTCTGGTGTGTCAGGCACCCCTCCCAGTTTTGTGTCAGCAAATTTGCTGAGGGTA